TCGATGCTAGGTTAAATTATGGTACGTATGGTATGTTCAACAATCAGCATGATATAAGTAGCGTTTAACCTCACCACTTAGTTCATATGAAGGCACTAAGGCTCTTGTCTAGACATCTCAAGGATTTTAGGATAACATCTGAAAAACACGGGCGTTTGAATATAAAAAACGACCGAGTACTTCGATTACGACGCATTTTGAGAATAAAGGTTTCCTCTCTCTCGTTGGTAGCCCAATTATCCGAGGTTTACTTCGGAAGCAGTATTCTCGAGTAACTTGCTTTTGAGTGTGACATTCTGCTCTAGGTAGTAAAGTGCCGCTGTTTTCGTATCACGGCTTCCGTGTACCGTCTACAGACTCTGCTACTAGGTACCCTGTTGCTCCAAGTATCTCGGTTGTGTGCGAGTGTTCACTTTGCTCTGAAACGTCTCAGCTTCAGTCAGTTTTATAGCTAAGTACCTGTCTGGATCAAATCGCAGTTTCTTCACTGTAATAGGTCCACTAATAACAGTCGTCCTTTTATGAATAGGGGTCTTCGTGAGTAGGACGAATTTATATTCAACTAGGCTTCAGGTTACAGACAACGTAGTAGGTCTTTTCTTCATGGGATTAATGCAAACCTCCCAGCGGCTTACAATCGGTTTCGGTTTCTTAGCACAACACGAGGTAGATGCGATCCCAGATTTCAACTCAATATTTTCTAATACTTGAAGGCTACATTGTTTGCATACTGGAATAATAGGTCGTTCGCAGACGCAATTGTTTTAACTTGGGAGATTCATTCGAACCTCATTCAAGTGTTCCCTTGAAATCAGTCCAGATTTTGATTGAATGGTGTATGTTGTGTAGTCTATTCGTTTTGCTCTATGGGGCTCTCTACATACTTTATGCTGCATTTCACATTCGGTCCTTGCAATTCATAAGAAGCTACAATTGAGTGTTCCAGTCCGTAGCACTGTCACTTAGGTTAATCAGATGAGGTCATGTCCACGTGGTGCTCTGAAACGACATGACTAATCTTCTGGGTGTTTCTCTTTCTCGGTTGTGATGAAAAGGCCATAGCTTATAAGGTAATGTTCTGAACTATTTTTTCCGCCCGAGCCTTTGGTTTCACATTCGTGAATGGGCAGGAATCGTTCGATTGGTCTGATTTAAGTGAGCTAGCCGGATGGCACGGCTTCAGTTATGCTCTTCCTTAACAGTAGCACCGAAGTGTAAACACCTACTAATTTATGAAGGAAACCACTCATAAGGTTGCTGAAAACTCTTCGACAGCTCACGACCGGTTTCGCCTTTCTTGGGGCTCATCAGGTAGGTGCAGTCCCCGAGTTTCCATCTACCCTATGTTCTACCTATTTTAAGCGTAACCTGTGTCTTCCGAAATCCACTGAGCTAAGGAGAGTGCCATCGATAATTAGTGATGCTCTTTCTAGCAGTAGCCCGAAGATGAGTTTGTGAGAACCAGTAATAAATTTGGTGAGCAAGTGTAAAACTGTATTCGGTAGTTGGATTCTTAAGCTTGGCATCCAGTTGCTGGGCCGGATATCATATTGTACATATAGTTTGCCAGATAAATCTGTTGAAAGGGCTGAGATACCTTACTGTGATGGAGAGAAGCCTGTTTCACCTTTTTTGTTTAAGTGCATTAAGCCTTATTCATTCGTACTTTGTCTGCACTAAACTAATCAGAGTGCAACACTCGCGGTTTCTGAGTAACAACCCTGAACGGAACGCCAGTTTTCCCTACTACGAAGTATTGCTTAGCATGAGTTTGGGCTCAAAGTAAACCAGCAAGTGGATATTAAAACAATTCATTTTCTAACGATTACAAGGTCCCTTAGAAACTTCAAAAACAGTCGCAACCAAAACAGTAACTAACCGCCTTGTGGTCAAAACATCGTGTTTTCTCGCGTGAACCGTTCCTCTTTTAGCAACTGAGCATTTATTCCAATATTTCTTGGTGTCTTCATTCTTTGGAGCTCGGTGTCACATCAGGCGATTGCGCACATCCATTTCTGTCAGTACGTTACTCTGCTGCTCTCTATGTATATTTTGCAATCAATGTTTGTATACAATCACCGGGTGTCACTGAAATGTGTAGCAGAATCGGAGTTGCAACCGTAGTTAGATCACACGTCTGAGCAGATTACGCTTGTAAATGGGAGTATTTCAACAAATTGCAGCTACTGGCTGGCAAGTAGGCTGGTAGGTAGGCGAAGCTCTAATCTTTATGCGGCGTTTTCTGTTGGAAAGCTCATCCTCACAAGCAGACTAGGGGACGTAATTTCTGTCATTGCTACTGCACATACAATCAAATCCCAATAGATTGTGAATAAATGCCCGAATAAAGAGTTACGTCTATTGGGGCTTGATGAGATTTCTGTTCCGGTCCACCTAGATTCAACTGCATGGTTGTTCAGTCTCCTTTCACCTGAACCAGAGTATCAGTTTATCGAGATTAGTAGTACGGTGAGGAAAGTTTAGATTTGTTTCCCGAAAGATCGATTGCATAAGCGATTTAACCTGCAGCCACAACCGCTAGGTGACTCACTCATCACGTTTTCTGTAGCTGGTGAATTTGAATTTAGACATATGCCATCTGGTTGAATTCAAAGCGCGCGGTACAACAGCTGCCAAATCGTTGTTCGGATAAGCAAACTCATTACTTACCAGTAGTCTGGACGTCCAACGTAGTCTATAGCTTACCAAAAGCGAACTTTTACAAAAAGTTTCGCTAGTTAATCCAGTTTATAAGTTCGGAAGTAAGGAAGACTGGGAACTATTATCTTCGTAATCCTACCAAGTCATGCAGATGCTTTTTCATTTCGGCCACTGAGGATGTTTTTTGACCCGAGTGCTATTGTGCTGAATGATTTGAACACGCTGATATTTAAAATAATCCTATTTGTCAGTTCATCTAACACGGACACCACCTGTTATGCAATTTTCTCTGTTTTCTGTCAGATAATTGGTGCGCATTTTGGTTCGAGGATTTCCCTAACCCACCTGCCAATATACTGTATATCGTTGACTGTCTGGTTAAGCACTTCGACCCTGAACTCCACAGCCACTTTACCAAATGTCACGTGACCACGGAAGTGAGTTTTTTTATCCATAAATAGTCAAAATCTGGCTCTGTCGAAGCCCGTGCGCCACACCGGGACTTATGTGCAACTGTGTTGACTTCCTAGTCAGCTCGATTTGTAAACCCCGCTCTAGACTTCAGCTGTGGCATTCTTTTTAGTACACAGCTGCAGTATAGACGATGGCGAAATCTCATAAGCGAATTCGAAAAATGTTTTCTAGTTTATATTTTATTTTCTAAAATGTTTTTAGCACGGTTTGAAGCCCATGAATCTGATAGGTAATTTTTCCACGTCTCGACATCTACCGTATGCGGTTTCCGCGCATTGTATTAGCCTGATACTACCGCGGTCCGGCCGTTATGTAGATTCATCTATTGTAGATCTTCCGAAAAAGAATCTTCTTTAAACAAATGCTTCGCAAATAATTTTGCACATGGGGCTCCACAATAGACCCTCAAGGAATCCGGTTTCCATGGAGAGTTCATGACGGCTTCTTGTGTCAAGCATGACATGGAAAAAGACCAGGAGAGATGAATTCTCTGGTTTTCCTTATAGTGAGGTTGATGTCATCATCATTATCATCGTCATTGTCAGCTGTAAGAACCGCGTACTTGTCGTAGAGTGGTTGTAGCTGCCACAGTTTCGTTCACCGATGATTGGGGGGGGGGTTAGGTAGCTGCGCATTGCACGCGCGAGCTGGTAAATTGGTGCATAAATCCAGCACTGTCA